CGAGCGCGGGGCCGAATATTCCACGGGACTGACAGCGGGAGGAGCACCCCCACCAACAGGCAAATTATCATGGGACTCATGAGGGAAACCCGGCTTCCTCAATTGCGCCTTCAACAGCTTCTCCCGACATGCGCAACTGCACTAAAGTCCGAGGGCTCTCCTCGTTCAGCAGAGCACAAACCGATCCACCGAATCCGTTGGATCCAGCTTCACATATGTTCCCCGTCGCTTCAGTGACAGCCCGCCGAACCTTCCCCGTCGCAAAGAACAGTCGCCGCCCTTGGGGCGTGATGCCCCTCTTGCAGCGCCGCATGCGCACGGGGCCCTCCGCGATCGGGCTCGGGAAGGTGGCGTTGCCTTTCGATTTGAGCGCGTTGAAGATGTCTGTGCACTCCACCGCCGTCGAGAACTCAAACGTCGCCTTCCTTGACGCGCCGAAGGCTTTGATAGTAATGTTGGCGCGCTCAGCTTCGGGCGCGAATTGAACTCTGACCATCTCTGCCGCGCGTCTCCACGGTCGGCCCATCAATGACACCTCAAAGCCTACTAAGATAAATCTACAGGCTCCCTCTTGCAGCCCTGCACCTGCCGTATCAGCTCCGCCTCCACCACCGCCGCGTCGATTGGTGGGCTGCCCCATCTGCTGGGCCCTCTTCTCGACGTTCTCCACCTTCTCCTTCGCGCCACCAGGTTCGACTGAAAATAAATCAAGTTGATTCTGAATGTTGTGCATCTTCTGGCCCATGGCCACGCTCGCCGCTTGGTGCGCTGCTTCGGTGACCGCGCCCTGTTGCGCCTGCTCCAGACCATTCACTCGCCCATGCAAATGCTGTAGGTGCTGTTCTTGCACGCCAGCGCTGGCCTTCATAGCGCCCAGCTGTGCTGACATATTTGCTTCCATGTGGTCGAGCTTGGCGTCGCTTGCTTTGATGTCCGGAATAAGACCCCGCATCCACGCCAGCGCCTCTGATGGGGCCCCACAATCTCGATCACTCCGATTCCGATCAATGAACTTTGAGCGAGGAGGGGTCGACGATGAGCCTTGATCGCGCTGCCGTGGACGCGAATGACTGCAGCTGTCCTCGCGCCCTCCAGCTCGACGATACTGTCGCTTCCCCATCTGTGAGTGCGAGGGTACATTGGAACACCTCGAGACAAAATGTCTGAGAAGGGAGTGGCCGAAAAGAACTGCCGGCGGGCGGGCCGTGGTTGACCCTCGTGAGCTGGCAAGACCGCGCCTCTGAGAACCGTTCGAGCCGCCCCGTCGGCTCTGCCGAGCTGGAAGCCAATGGTGCAGAGCTATTATTGGGCGTTCGCTGAGTTTGGATATCTCACGCATAAGGAGGAGGCGTGGTTCATTGCGCCGTGAGCCCCGTCGCCCATTGTTGAGAGTACGGGCAGTGGCATGTAGCAGCTGGTCAAACATGCACTGAATTGCGTGCTTTCCAACGGAGGGGCCACCGCCTGACGCGCGCTGGCGTCTGGATCTACGCGAAACCGACGCATATCAATGTGACCTCAGGCGGTTGCGTGCGCACCAACATTGGACACCTGCTGCTGTCAAGGCCATCAACGCGTCTTTGGGCAGCATGGGCCACTTGGGCATCGTGCCGTGCCCGCTCTGGCAAAACATCAGCAAGGGAGGTAGGTGTAGACACTTGCCGCTGCAAGACTTACAATGTGATCCATGGGTGCCACGCGCGGGCGCACCAATGCGAGCCTCGCTGGGGCAGTCTGGGGAAGGAACACTCTTGGCAAGACAGCGAACGCTGACTTGGAGACTCGGCTGGGCTCCCCCTAGGGTCCGAACTACATCACTGCCAATCCAGCATCAGCCCCATCAGCACTATCGCGCACGACTGGCCCCAAGTATACCTCATCACTGGCGCGTTCGAGTACGACCTCTTGGGCTTCACGTGCAAGGCCAAATCGACTGGGAGGGGCACGCGGGCAGCGGTGGAGCATGCCGATCTGCGTGCGTAAGGACATGCAGAGTTGGACGTGGCCTCGTTAGTGTACAATGGCATCGGATTTGTTCGAGAACAACAAAATGACCGCCAGGGCGAGCAAGCAGCTGTCAGCGGCGCCAGCGTCCAGCGGTAAGTATTTTGCCCGCGTGGTAGCTCGGAGGATCGCCTTCCTCCCCCGCCCAAGGGTGCAGTTGAATGCGTTTCGCTGTGCTGTGAGAGCAGAAAATTGCTGCAATGCGCATCGCGCCGACTCGCTGCGCCGCCCCAGCTGCATGATTGCACTGTGAGGCGCTTGCATAAGTTCCTGGAAATGCACGAGCCAACATAATTCCAAATCGGGCACCACCAGGCCGCCCACCTCGCTTGCCAAAACGCCGCGATTCGGGATCCCTCTTCGAAACGTTTGTTACCGAGCGCAGGCACGAAGGCCCTAAACAGCTTGTTATGAACCGCCAGGCGAGGGGCGTTCACTACACGAAGGGGCTCATGGAGGAGCTGTGCCGCCAACGTTGTGCATACCTGCAAAGGTTTGCCGTCCGCGCCACGGGCAATCGGCATGCGCTGCACAAGGCTCTTTGCCAGCCAGTGAAGGAGCTGTTCCCAAACGCGGGCAACCTCGAAATCCCAGGCAAGTCGTAGCTCAACCGGGTGCGAAATTTAACATGCTTGACGTCGTGCTGCTTGGCGGCGCGAGGCCCAGGAAGTGCGGGGAAATGTGGTACAATGTCTGCGTTGACGGCAAAGATTGAACTTGCATGTCCATGTGGAAATTCCGAACAGCAGACGGCCGCTATGCAACATACGAGCGGGCCGAAACGCCAACTCTGGTGGATTCTGCCGACTTACTGGCCCACGGCATTGGGCGCGCAGGCGCCCACGGAACTGCTGCAGTGCATTTGACTCTGTACTATATGATCGCGCGCGGGTTGCACACATGCCACAATCTGGATTGCAAACATGCGAAAACCTGAGTTGCCCCAAGCTGACACTTGTATGTGCGAGGTTGGTTGTCCGTCTCTTGGGCTTGCGCACACGCAAAAATGTGGTCATATATGTCTGCAACAGCGAGTTGCACATGTAATAACATGAAACAGCAACATCATGACATATCGAATGCAACATGATGGCACGTCCAATGCGACGGCATGGTGGATCAGCGATTCTACATGAGACCGCACTGAACATAAAAGAGCATTACGTGGTACTGGTGGTCCCACATGTGGAAACTATGGTAGTCGCCACGTGGAAAGTGTGGCCGTTAGAATGCAAGATATGCATTTGATGGAAAAAAACACGGGCTACCTACGGCCTGGCTATCACAGGCCCATAACTAGGCCGTAGATGTCCTATCTTGTTTTTCACTGGGGCACCTAGTTTGACTACCTACCAAACCACCCCAACCCAACCCGAAGACCCGAATTTGTCCCGAATTTCGGGTTGGGGGGGTACGAGTTCCACGTGTTTTTTTGATGTTCCCCGCCCCCCCCCCATACTGGAAATGGAGGGCAAATCGTGGCCTTCGGGTTGGGTTAGGGTGGTGTTTGGTGGGCGGTGATAGTTCTCACCAGGCGCGCGCGCTCGGTGGAGACCTCCCGAGGAGATGGTGCCTCCGAACGTCCTGACTTCTGCCGCGCGGGGCCCCCGGGGAGCTCCGACGCTCTCCCCCACGGGGCCGGCTCTGCCCCCCGGGGCCGCTCTGTGGGCGGCCCCGGGGCCCAGCGAGGCAGCCCGGGAGGCAGGAAGCGGCCAGAATCCTTCCTGGCCATCGCTCGGACGTCAATTCACTGTGTTTTTTTCGGTTTCGTGCGTGTTTTTTCGCCAAATGATCAAGGATGCTCCTCGATGGTCCCCGCTGAAGGAAAAATGCACACGCCCGAGCGATGCCAAGCTTCCATCGTGACCTCATCATGGCGCGAGCAGGTCTGGGAACGAGGAGGCCTCCCAGATGGGGTCGGAGTAGACGGGGTCGGAGGGTCGCGCCGCATCGCAGCTGCGTCGCCGACGCACACGGCGATGCATACGCAACGTCGGCGATGCATCGGCGCCGTGTGCGTGGAGAAAGGCGAAATCCACATCGAACCGCATCGCCGATGCATCGGCGATGCGGCGCGATCACCCGACCCCATCTGCTCCGACCCCATCTGGGAGGCCTGAGTCTGGAAATGGGCCAGAGGCCTGGGATTCTCAGCATCGTTTAAGCGATCCCTACCCCCAATGGCGTGACCAGGGATCCACACGCCGATCTACCTCCGGAAATGGGCATATAGGATGTTCCCTTCGGGTTTCGAGGGCCTATCCTCAACTGGGGTGGTGGGATGGTGGGGCTGAGATAGCATGTCCCGGTGGGGATTGGGATAGGTCAAACGATACTGGTTGACGGCGAGCCTTGGGGGCAAGTGAGAGGGAGCGGTCCTTCTCAGAAAGCTACGAAGGCCCCTGGCCTTCCGAGATGTTTCCGAAGCCTTCCCCGAGGACATCGAAGACTCATCAAAAGGCGCGAGGGCTTCTGAGAAGCCCCGCCGCCTTCTGAGAAGGTCTCCCCCCCTGTCGCTTCCCCCCTGGCTCGCCCGGGGGCGTCCACACACGGGGGTGCGCAAGAGGGTGGTCCGGAAGTCCTGGCCCGAGAGGTACGTGCGCGGCCCGTGGGGGGCCGAGGGGTGCACCGAAAGCAGATGGGCCCTGAGAGCTGGGGAGGTGTCATGGCCTCGGCCGTGATACCTCCCCCCTGGTCACCAGCCCCCTCTTGGACGCACCCGCCGAACTGAGGACGAAGAGGAGGAGGAGGAGGAGGAGAAGGGGGGAAGAGGAGGAAGGAGGAGGAGGAGGGGGAGGAGGAGGAGGAGGAGGAGGAGGAGGGGGAGGGAGGAGGAGGAGGAGGAGGAGAGGAGGAGGAGTCGGAGGAGGAAGGAGGAGGAGGAGGATAGGGAGGGGGACGAGGAGGAGGAGGAGGATAGGGAGGAGGAGGAGGAGGAGGAGGAGGAGGAGGAGGAGGAGGAGGAAAAGGATGAGCTTCTGCGCGCCGCCGGTCGCCAGCGCCGAGAAGACGCTCCGCTCGTAGGACCGGAGGCGCGCCGCGCCCGCCGCGGCGCTGCCGTCCGGGGCGCCGGGCGGGCGCAGGAGCTCCTCGAAGAGGGGCCCCGCGGCGGGCGGCAGCTCGCCGGGCTGCACCTGGCCATCGGGTGCTCCCAGGAGAGCCCCCGGCGTGGGCGAGGGCGGGGCCGGAAGTCAGAGGAGGAAAAGGTACCCATACATCGACCCGTCCCTCGCCTTCCCCTGTTTGGGCCTCCTTGGAGGCCCTCGCCGCCACCGCTGGACTCGCCTCGAAATCCTGGTCAGAACGCCCCCCCCAAAAGGGTCAATGGGTCCGGCCACGAGGAGGCCCGTGGTTCCGGCCACGTGGGGGGGGAAGTGGGTGCGTACTCTACCGAGGTCCTCTTTTTGGCGGCCGGTGACGCGCCGGCCCCGGGGCCCTGTGTGTGGACAGGCATGCACAAGCGTTGTGGGTCCAATCCTGTGCGGCCCGACCCGGAAAGGGGCGCGCGTGGGTCGCCAGGATTGCCAAGGAGGCCCCCAGGGTCTCCAGAGCACCCCTCACGAGGCCCAGAGGGCCCCAGGGGCCCTGGAATGAAGCGAAGAGCTGGGGCACCCTGGGCCAGGGGCACCCTTCACAACACCCGAAATCAGCCTCGAGCTTAGCCTTATCCCCGAGATGGACACGCCCAAAGGCCATGAAGGGTCCGTAACCTCCTCGCGGGTGGCCTTTCTCTCCTGGCCCCAGGCCTGGTCTGTCTGCTTGCGGCTGCTTCACCTCTCCTCTTCCTTGCATCCCTCCCTTGCCTTTCCTCCTGCTCCCTGCCTGCCGTCTCCGCCCAAACCCTCTAAGGCGATGACAATCTTACCCGCCAGTCGGAAGAGGTAGGTAGAAACATTAAGTAGGAAGGCGGTTAGAGTAGATTGGGGTCGAGCCCGCCCAGAGAATAGCAAACAACCACAAAACAGATCGACTCTTGAAGTAGGAAGGCGCTTGAAATAGACTGGGGTCTGGGAACCCAGACATCCACCGCCGTTCCGCTGGGCACGGAGAGGGCGTGTCTACAGGTCCTTTGCCGAATCCCCTGAGCCTTAGTCCTCAAGTCTGAGGAATCAAGTAGGGGCCCGGACCCAAAGTTCTGAAATAAGACGGACCAATAAAGCCTCAAGATGCCCCCCGAGACGGTCCAAGAGGGCCCCGAGTCGCCGCAAGACCGCCCCACGACGCACAAGATGGCCCCCAAACGGCCCAAGAGGCCTCGAAGAGGTCTCCCAAGAAGGCCCCAAGCCCAAATCAATGTTTCCCCTAGGTTGTTGGAGGTTCTGGGCACTCTCGCCGCTTCGGCTTCCCGACGCTCCAAGACGGCCCACGAAGCCTCCAAGACCGCTCCAACACGGTCCCAGAGGCCGCTTAGACGCCCCAAGACGGCCCAAGAGGGCCCCAAAACGGCTCAAAAGCCGCCTAAAACTCAAGAGGGCCCCAAGACAGCCCCAACAAGGCCCAAGAGAGGGAACACGAACCGAGAACCCGAGTCTTCCGCCCCAAGAGACGAGGCCCCAAGAGGCGCCAAGGAGGCCCCGAGAGGCCCCCAAGAGGCCCCCAGATGCACCAAGAGGCCCCGAAGAGGCCCCCCAAAGCCCCAGGAGGCCCCAAAACGGCCCCAAAGAGGTCTCGAAACTGCCTCAAAGAGGCCCCCGAGAGGCCTCTCACGAGATCCCAACGAACATCCAATAGGCCTCAGACCCACAAGCCAGGCACGGTGGCGGGATGGGCCGAAGGCAATGAGATACCTTTCGACGATCAGCGTGTATCCCCGAGACGGACAAGCCCAAAGGCGATGACAACATCTGGGATGTTTTAGACTGGAGCGATGGGGGCCACGCCAGTGGGGGCGGTGGGGGGTGCAACAAATCGCTTGCGCGAAGTCTTGCCCGAACTATTGCTGGGGGGCGCGAGCTACTGCAAGAGGCGTAAACGATTGCGTTTGACGGAATCCACGATGGCATCTACGCGGCCAGACCGCAAAGCATTGCATCCATGCAGAAACTACCGCAAATACAGTTTCACCATTGCGCCTACTCTGGCCCCCCATCTGTGCTACCCCCACTGCAGTCGGAGCTATGCCAGAAAAACATCCCTCAAGAACATAAGACCCTCCATCATCTAAGGGTACCCTCCCCAGGATGCACAAGAACATCCGACAAGCAAAAACTTACAAAAGGGCACCCTACCCGAACCGACCTCCATCTTATGCCTCGGCCCGACGGCACTCCGGCCTGGGCGTGCCCTCAGCATCTGCTGGAATCCTCGAGCCCGGCATCGCGAGAAGGTGATACCGACCACAGCACGATGGGGGTGTGCTTCAGGCTGCTAGGCACCGCGAACTCCACGTCCGCCGAGTTCGCGGCCAGCCTCAGCTGGTCCTGGCCGGTGCGCGGAGAAGGCGGCCCGGAAATCTCCGGGCGTGTGACGACGAGGCGAGGTTGACCCCGTCGGGGGGGGGACACCCCCACGCTGACTAAGAAACCCAAAATACCCGTGCCGCCACTCCACGGACCTCTCCCGGGGCCTCCCACGAGGTCTGCCTGCAAGCAACAAAAACGAGGCAAGGGTATAGCGGCATGGGCACTGCTTCCTCCCCTGACCCATCGCCGACTCCGAGGAGCCCGAGCCCCCCCGGGGATCTTCTGACCCGGGTCAATCCAAACCAAGGTCAGTCAGACTAGGGACTAGGGTCTTGCAGGATGCTGCACCCCAAACCGGGTCAGTGCGCCCCTGGCCCTGCAGGAGCCTGTAAGATCCGTCGCTCTGACTAGAGAAAGAAAAAAAAACATCAACATAAACTTTTGGATGTCCGCGAGCATTTCTTGGATCTGAGCGAGAGTGCCCTCCCTGGCGCGCGGAGCGTTCCAGGGGCGGCGCCGGAGGCGCCGCTGGGGGGGGGCCAGCACAGATCCAAGAAATCCGCGCGGAGCGCCAAAAGTGCACGTCTAGGGCGTGTTGCTCCTCTTCGACTGGCTGGCCCCCGTTTGCATGGACCCCCGTCCCTCGAGCCCCGAGACCCCCCTGGACCTCTCCCCTCGGGGAGACGTAAGACTCGGGTACGGGGGACGCGGGTTGGCCTGACGGGGTCCATCATAAAAATGACGAGACGCCATCTGAAATTTGACGCGAGCTCCCACTGCAGACATCCCACGAAAACTGGACCGTCAAAATCCAGGACGCGCTCGTCAAAAAACGTCGGCAAACCCGAGTTCCAGCTTACCCGAGTCTTACGTTCCCCCGATCCCCGGACCTCTCCCAGGGTGCGTTCTGACCAGGACTTCGAGGCGACTCCAGCGGTGGCGAGACGAGGGCCTCCGAGGAGGCCCCGCAAGAAGGGGAACACGCGCGCAGGGCAGAGGTCGGGGTACCTCCTCCTCCGAGCGCCCCCGAGGTCCCGAACGTCGAACGTCGATCCTCGGGCCTACCTCGAGTATAGGCCTGCCCTCGCTTGTCGAGCGAGGCCTACCCTCGATGATCCTCGATCCTCGACTGTCGAGCGGGGCCTGTCCTCGATCCTCGACTGTCCGGCCCCGAGAGCCCCCCTCCCGAGAAGTCCTGGACGCCCGGGGCCGTGGCCTCGGGCGCGCCCCGCCCCGCCACGGCGAGCGCCGCGCCGAGCCCGCGCACCAGCACGGCCCGCTGCGCCTCCGCGAGGCCCCCGCCGCGCGGCGCCGCCGCCGAGGCCTCCGCCGGGCCCCAGAGCGCGATGCCGAGCAGCACCCGGCGCAGCCCGGCCAGGTCCAGGGCGCTGAGGGCCTCCGCGCCGGCGAGCGCCCGCAGCGCCCTGCGGCGGGGTCGCCGCGGAGCGGGCACGCGCGTGCTCGGGCGGTGCCGCCGGGCGTCTCGTGGCCCCCCCCGGGGGTGGTGGCCTCCCGGGAGGCCCCTCGGGAGGCCGCAGCTGGGCTCCCCTCGGATCTGTGTTGGCGCTTTTCGCGTGCCCGTAAGCCTCGGTTGCGGTGCTTTGAACTCGACGGCGGGCGAGAGGGGGGGAAGTTCGAGACTCGCGGTCATCGAGGTTTCCGAGCGGTTTCGTAGTTTCTTGCCGGTCTTCCGGCCTCGGGATGCGTTGCAGCGGCTGCGCCTCGCCGAGAGCGCCTCGGGGATGCCCAGATCGTCCCGCATTGCCGCCCGAGACCCGAGCTATGGCCCGAACACTGAACTCGGCGGCGCGCCCAGGGGAGGAAGTAAGAAGGAGAAGGCCTTCTCAGAAGGCGGCGGGACTTGTCAGGAGCCCTCGCGCCTTCTGAGAGGTTTTCTGTGATTGCGGGGAAGGCTCCGAAAACTTCTCAGAAGGCCTCGGGACTTCCGAACCTTCTAAGAAGGCCTGCACAATCTCACATCCCCGCCGCGCTCGCCGCCGAACATGTGGTCCAAAACCGACAGCGGCCGCTGTTGGCCAATCGGCCTTCTGACTCAGATGGGCCACGCCCTGCTCAAAAAACGGGCAGGAACTGCTGCTGGTCTTTGTGCCCGGTCTTTCCGTACCCTGGGTTTCTTAATAAGCGTGGAGGGGTCTCCCCCCCGACGGGGGTCAACCTCGCCTCGTCGTCGCGCCGCGACGGGGGTCGGAGCGCCTTCGGCGCGCGGTGGCTGCCCGCGAGGGGTCGATGTGGGGCCGTCGGCGGGGGTGACGCCCCCCCGACGCTTCTTAAGAAACTCGGAATGCCCCTTTCGATCGTCCCGACCTGTGGAGCATCTGGCGCACCGGTGTCCGGAGCGCCTCGGGGACGTGGTCGGGGGCGCCGAGCGTCGCGTACGTGTAGAGCATCCGCGAGATCCTGTCTGGCGAGACCTCTCGGGGGCGGCCAAGAGGGGGGCGTCCAAGAGGGGGGGGCGCGCAAATCATGGCCGGCGGCATGTGCGCGGCCCAGGGGGGGGCCCAGGGACGTATTGAAGTAAGAAGAGGCGTCATGAGCTCTGGGGAAGGACCATGGCCCCCGCCATGATACCCCCCCCCAGACTCAGGTCGGGCATGTCCTCCTACAGGCGGATTCTGGACGAAAAATCAAAGTCGGTCGAAAAACACTCCAGGAATGACAACAGATAGTCGAAACCTCGTCCCGAGACTGATTTTCCGTACGGCATCGCGTCGTGTCGACCCCAGCGATGGTTTCTGTCACCTCGGGGATCGTTCAACCTTGAACGATCGGCCCTTTCCGAGACGTGCGATCCTTCAACATCGACCGATTCTGAGTCGCCGGCGGCGTTCAACCTTGAACGCCCGCGCTGGGGTCGCCGCTGGTCGACACGACACGAACCTACCGTACTGCTTTCGAGCATCCCCCCTGTAGAGGGACGGGCCCGACTTGACCCTACAACACATCACCCCCCTCTGCGCCGCCCCCGAGCCTCCTCGCTGAGCTCCGCGAAGCGGGCCACGGCGGACGCCGAGACCGCGGAGAGGAGCTGCCAGTCTCGGAGGCCGACGCGGGCCCAGATGGCGGCGACCTCGCAGAGGCTCTCGGGGGGCATGTCGTCCACGGACCTCGCGAGCCTCGCGGCCACCGCGTAGAAGCGGCCACGGAAGTCGCCAGAGAGAGTCGGGGAGCCTCTCGAGCGAGGGATCGACTACAGAACTGGTGTACGCGACTTTTCTCGCCGAATGTACCCCAGCAGTGACTTTTCTCGTCGAATCCATGGAACATGCTTAGACACCCTTCTAGATCTAGGATAACTCCACGTATTCGTCTGCAGATTCGACGTGACAATTAACTTTCAGGGTGAGTCAATTCTGTAGTCGATCCTCTACCCGAGCCTGCGCACGCATCTGCCAGCACCCGCGCGAGCGACAGCATCTGCAGACCCGTGAACAGGCGCAGCCGCGACTGAGCGGTGCCCCAGAAGTGCACCACCTGCGACTCCCTGAGGTAGCCCGTCTCCCGGAAGCCATGCAGCAGCCGAACCACGTCGCGCGGGGCGTAGGCCGCGGTATTGCCGCGGAAGTGGCTCTCCACGGCATGCACAAGGGAACGAAGAGTGACACAAACATCAAAAACTCAGAGGTCCGCGCGGATTTCTCGGATCGGCGCCGGACCCCTCCCTGGCGCGCGGAGCGCGCCAGGGGCGGCGCCAGAGCCGCCGCCAGGGGGGAGCCAGCGCCGATCCGAGAAATCCGCGCGGACCTCGGAGTTCTGATGTTTGTGCCACGCTTCGCTCCCCCTGATGCAGCAGAGCGCCGTGCGGGACGCTCAACACCGCGAAGGGCTGGATGACCTCTGCGACCTGCCGCGAGGACCAGGCCGACCGGCTGACCGCCAGAGACTGCGCGGCATGGCAGCCCAGGGCCTCCAGCGGCTCTCCCCTCCACGACTGCGCGGGGAGCACCTGGTGGGTGACGCTCAGCGCGTTGGAGAGCATCGCGAAGTCCTCGGGCTTGAAGGAGCCCAGCCGCGGCACAGCGGCCCTGGCGAAGCCGTCGAAGAGGCCCTCGCTGTAGTGCCGGAGCTTGGCGAAAGCCGCCGCCGAGGCGCTGATGCCCTGCGGCTGGAGCTCCGACATGCGGTCCAGCACCTGCGCCTCCAGCCTGCAGAGCAGGAGTCTCTGCGAATCGGGCAGGTGCTCCCAGACGCCTTGCCCCCCAACACGGGCCATGGCACACACTACATGGCACACAGACAGGCCCCCCAGCATGGAGCAGACGTCTGCTATCGAGCTCAGGGCTGCCTTGAACGTGTCATGGGGGTCCTGCACGTATCTGACCTTGGCAAGGTCGGCAGTCGCCAGTGCGAGCTGTGTCGGGGTGAGGCCAGCAGCCAATTTCTTAAACTGCGAAGCCCACGCCCCGAGCAACTTGCGATTCCGAAGGTGCACGCTGGCCACCCCGTGCAGCAGCTGGATGAGATCTGGACCAGAGCATTCCGACATCTGCCTGATCACCTGCGGCACCAGTGGCAGCATGCAGGCGCGTATGTCATCGCTCGGCCTCGGCAGCCTGGCGTATCCAGACATCAGCGCAACCAGGTCCCTCGGGCGGAGCTGCTGCGAGCGCGCGCAGCGCTCCACCTCCTGCCGCAGTCGGCCGAGCGCGGGCCCGTCCAGCAGCCTCAGGGTGTGCAGGTCCAGCAGCGCGCTCGCGAGCTGCCGCGGCGAGCAGCGCGGCAGCTCGGCCAGCAGTCGCGGGCGCAGCCAACAGGCCAGCGCGCCAGGGAGCTCCCCCGCCGCGCCGTCGGCACCCGACAGGCGCGCGGCCGACCGGAGCACGGACACCAGACCGGTCGCCTCCAGCGGGCGGCCCTCGCGCTCGTGGGCCTCCAGCGCGGTGAGGGCCCGGCTCAGCGAGGCGGCCACGTGCAGGCCCTGCGCGGAGAGCTCCTGCTGGAAGGCGGCGATGAAGCTCAGGACCTGCGCCACGTCGATCGGCTGGCACGCGGCCCAGAAGTCGCTGGTCGCCGACGGGGACAGGGCGGCCACCACCTGCGCCGCCAGCGACCGCTCCCAGACGCCCGCTCGCCCGAGCGAGCTGGCGGCGAGGCACAGGTCGCGCACTGCAGCGCCAGGGGCCGCGGCCTCCGCCACGCGCGCCGCCACCGTGCGTACCAGCTCCTCGTCCACGGGCCGCTGGCCAGAGAGGCGCGCGAGCACCCGCGAATGCTCTGGCGCCGTGCGAGCCAGCGCGGCGGCCTGCGCCAGCAGCCCCCTCGCCTCGAGGCTGCCGCCAGCCGCGCCGACCTGCAACGCCGACCGGCACAGCGACCGCACTGTCGGCGGCAGGGAGGCGGCCGCCGTGCGCCGCGGCAGCAGCGATGAGCTGCCGGTGCCGCTGCTGGTGCTGCTGCTGCTGCTGCCGCCAACGGCGGTGCTCCCGGCGCCGGCAGCCTCGCCTCGAGGCTGCCGCTGGTCTCCCCCAGCGGCTGGGCGCCCCCGCGGCGGGCGGCCGCGCAGAAGCCGCGCGAGGCACGGGCCGCCGACGGGCGCCGCGCCCGCGCGAGCCGCGGCCGCTGGCGCCGCAACCACCACTCCGAGGCTCCCCTCCGCCGCCGAGCGCAGCGCCATGGGCCGCGCCGCGGGCACCGGCTCCTGCTTTCCAGCCTAATCCTCCTCCTGGTCCTCTTCCTAATCCTCTTCCTCGTCCTCGTCCTCGTCCTCCTCCTCGTCCTCGTCCTCGACCTCCTCCTCCTCCTCCTCGTCACTGTCCTCGCCCTCCTCCTTCTCCTTCTTCTCCTCCTCCTCCTCCTCCTCCTTCTCCTTTTTCTTCTCCTCCTCCTCCTCCTCCTCCTCCTCCGCCTCCCTCCTCCTCCTCCTCCTCCTCCTCCTCCTCCTCCTCCTCCTCCTCCTCCCTCCTCCTCCTCCTCCTCCCTCCTCCTCCTCTCCTCCTCCTCCTCCTCCTCCTCCTCCTCCCTCCTCCTCCTCCGTCCTCCCTCTCCTCCTCTCCGTCCCTCCGTCCCTCCCCCCTCCCTCCCTCCCCCCCTCCCTCCCTCCCTCCCTCCCCCCCTCCCCCCCACCCTCCCTCCCTCCTCCCTCCCTCCCTCCTCCCTCCCCCCCTCCCTCCTTCCCCTCCTCCTCCTCCTCCCTCCCTCCCCTCCCTCTCCTCCTCCTCCGTCCCTCCCTCTCCGCCTCCTCCCTCCCCTCCCTCCCTCCCTCCCTCCCTCCCTCCCTCCCTCCCTCCCTCCCTCCCTCCCTCCCTCCCCCCCTCCCCTCCTCCCCTCCTCCTCCTCTCCTCCTCCTCCTCCTCCTCCTCCTCCTCCTCCTCCTCCTCGTCTGACTATTGGGGGTCTCAAGTGGTAACGTCGAAATCTCGAAAGAACTCACCGAACGGTCCGTCACCGCCACCCCGAATCCCCACTGGCCCACCGCACGGCATGGTCACCGCACAGTTCGTGGGCCCCAGCAGCTCTATGGGAGCGGAGAACGGCCGAGGGGAACAACACGATGATTGCGAGGAGCATGCAGGAAGCAGCCCACCACGGCAGCGCCAGTGCCTCGCGCGTCGTGCCGACGGCACCGCGGCGCGCGACTCCCGCAGGCCTCGGCCTCCGGTGCTTTGCCCGCCTCGGGCCCCCCGGAGCCCTCGCAGGGTCGACCCCGATGCGCCAGATCCCCGCACGCAGACGGGGCCCGAGGCCTCAGCTCCTGTCCCATGTCGGCGGCGCGCACCAGGGGATGGGGGGAGGGGGGAAGGCTTCTGAGAAGGACGCCGCCTCTTAGAAGGCGCCGGCCCTACATCTACAGACGAGGCCCGCGCCTCCTAAGAGGCAGGGGTGCTCTCAACAAGCCTTCCGCCCTCCCCCTACCCCCCTCTGCGCGTGGCCCACCACTAGGGTGACTCGTCTGGATCGTTCCAGGACGGCCTCCCAGGCAAAGCGCCTCCTTACAGTTCGCGAAGGGGTGCATGCAGGGAGGCCCTTTCTCCACATATGTCCAAGGGATTCATCTTCGCGCATATTAATCGAACCGCCAGCACGGCCAGATCAATCGGACCGAGCTGGATCCGTGGAGGTCAGTTGGCCTTGGGGGGGAGGCTCAACTCGAGGCCGTCGATGCCGCGCACGGATAGCTACACGACATGTTACCCCGTCGCCCGAACCGTGGACAGCCTTTCTGCTCTGGAAGCACCCAGTGCTCTCTCGAAGGTGAGGGGCAACGAGGGAGGGGGGCTGGCTCAGGCGAGGAACCATTGACCTGGAATCAACGACATCGCCGACAGGCCGGCGATAGTAGAGGCCTCTCAGATGGTGTCGGCGTAGATGGGGTCGGAGGGCTCGCCGCATCGCCGATGCATCGGCGATGCATCGTCGACGCAGCGGGAAGCAGATGGGTTTCCACATTATCGATCCGCATCGGCGATGCGGAGCGATCCTCCAACCCCATCTACTCCGACACCATCGAGGCGGCCTAGAGATAGGCACCCGATGGCAAATCCGAACAGTCCTGGGCTGGCTGGCCATCGGGACCATGGCGGCCATCAGTGGGCGATCGGGGGTGGACGCATCCCCCCTTGAGCCTACCCCACCCCAACTTTGCCCACGAAAGCGCCATAATTCGAGATTCGTGACCTCCCTTCGGTGGGGCAGCTCCCCTCCCTGAAGACGTCGTCGGGGACAATCGTGGAATTCTGAGGGGGGTCCTCTGCGCATCCCCGATCCGTCTCCCAGCCTCCTGGCCCCTCCGAGGCTCTGACGCTGACGCACCGCATAGTGTGGGTCATCTGGGGACTCTGAGCTTGCACACACACACACACACCCACAGAAAGCGGAGGTCACCAAACAGGCTGCACTTATAAGTATCTACGAGAGAGACAAATAAGCCGCGCGCGCTCAAGGTGCCACGGGGGAAGGAGAAAAGAGGGGAGAGCAGGGACAAGGAAGGGAAATGGATGGCCCTCCCAACCTCCGAGCCTGGACTGGCTTCCTGAAGGGGTAGGGTGGGGAGGGAGCTCGTGGCCGCTGCTGTCTGCAATCGCCGCTCCTGCACCCCATGCCTGCTGGGAGCGCGCAGGGACCCCCAAACCCCTCCGAAGCAATGACACAATGGCACCCGGTGAAATGCTAATCACACCGTTTGGGGACCCCGGCGCTGTACAAGGGGCTCTAAAACTCGTTCAAGTGGCCCCTGGCGGCCTCCTCGGGCTCCAGGCCAGCTGTTCTGAGAGCCAGGAGAAGCCCAGGCATCAAGCGGAGGTTTAACTCCGCACTCTTTGCCAGGGCGTGCTGGCCCAAACCGACAGCGGCGCCGCTGTCGGGCAGGCGCTTGTTGGCCTCGACTGGGCACCGTCCACGGCCACTCCGACGGCGCGCCCTGCCTCGAGTGGACAGGAGCTGATGTCGGTCTCTGTCCCCATTCTCATGGCTGAACCTAATCGGTGTTTTCCGTTTTTCGTTTTGTGCTCGTTGTCCCTTGCTTCTGTCTCGAATCCGCCTCTACCGCAAAACGAAGTCGAAACGAAAACGGCCCACGAAAACACCCAAAACACCGTTTAGGTCCAGCCCCGCCCAGTCTTTCCGCACCCGTT